GGTTCAAAAAATTTATTTTTATTATTGGTTTTTGTTAATATTTTCTGACACGCATTTGAATATGCCACAGGGGAACAGAGTGAACTTGAAGAAGGAAGAAAATTTGACCATTATGTACAGATTAAGAAAAAATAGAAAGAGGAAAAAAGAAAATAAAAATGTGGGCAGATAACAGGAAAGTACCAAAAAAAGTTTAAAAATAAGAGAAATGATGTTTCTAGGGTAAAAAAGTATGCTGATTACGAATCTGAACTCAGATTTTGAAAAAGTCGTATCCAGACCCGAATATATGTCCTCAGATACCGAAAAACCATAACAGAGACCAAGCTGATATTCTTTTCTTTTCGCAGGGAACCCAATTCTCCTGGATTGCGGTTTGTGCTACTAATTTAATTTTCACAATTTAAATTTTCTTGTAAATATTTCTTTAAATTTGGAAGATTTATATACATATATTTTTTGTAAATATTTTTAAAAATTTCCTTGACCTATTTTTATTTATATTTTTTAACTAACATTCATTCTACTATATTTTTGGTAAAAAATAAATGCCATTTCTTTTCATAATGGGCATTCTCTTTGGGCATTTTTGGCATTTTCTTTCAATCATACAAAAATGAAAGAGTAAAATTATTTTTCCAAATCTTTATTTTTGCTTTTTTTCATTCCTTCATCATTCAAGATTTTTTATTGCGCAACCACATATAACATTCCCGTTCTCGAGCAATCTCAATTTTCTCCATTCAACATTTTATCTCGAGTGAAAAACAAACTTATTTTTTGGCTTGTTTTTTATTTCTTTTTTGGCTTCTTTTTTACATAAATATTTTGTTTTAAATTTTTAATTTTTATGAATATTTTTGGAAAAATAATTGACTTCCCGTTTTTAAGATTTTATAATTTTCAAGACGTTCTGGCGCTGGTGAGGCGCGCTTAATTATAAAATTACCAAATTAAACCACCTATACAACATGGGTGTGCCGAAAGTGATTTTAAAAAACGAACGGCGAAAGACGAAGGGTGAAACTCGCGCACTCCTGCTATACAATTAAATTTTCCACATATATCCTCAATACATTTATTCAGCTCTATTGAAAATTTCAGAATTTTTAGTTTAATATTTAACAAGTTATGGCCGAAAATGTATGAATTTTCTGCATATTTATCGATATTTTTGACCATAACTTTTGAAACACTAAGCCATAAATTCTGAAATTTTTAGAGAACCTAGATAACACAAAAAAGAATATCTCTGAAAAATTTCACCCCTCTAAGTATACACTAGGATAAATTACACAAATCCGCGCCCTAGCTTTTCTACGCCCAAATATCTCTTTTCCAAACACTTTTCATCATTCAGTAGCCAATAAAACAAAATTCCTCCTCCTTTTTTCTTTTATGATTTTCCCTCTTTTTTTACTCACTTATTCACTCACTCGCACACAATAACTCTAATAAAAAAGAGTTTTTAAACTCCACCCAATCTTCTATACTTTTTTCTTTAATATAAAGGAACCCTCTTTTCCCACTCGTTCACTCATTCATCATATTTTGGTTTATTTTAAAGGAGCTTCTTTTTTCGTTAAAAGGAGAACTTATTAAAACCTTTTTTCATTTATTTTTATCTTTTTATCAGGAGTTGTTTTTACGGATAAATGTCCCCTTTCCTTTGTTAATGTTTCCTGTTGTTTTTAAATATGCGGGCTTTTGTTTATTAAAATTGGAAACTTAATATTTACACTTTGTAAAACAGGCGGAATTAAATTAATACCAACCAGGCGGATTTAAATATTATGAAAGTTAGGTTAATTTACAAATTGTAAAACAGGCGGATTTAATTAAACAGGCGGAATTAAATTTATTACAATAAAATAGGATTTACCATGAAGCAAGCGTATTTTACTATTTTCAACCCATTTTGATTTTACCCAATTATTAGATAATTAATTTTCATTAATTTACCGACTTTAATATTTTATTTTAATTTTATTAATAATTCAGAACCATCCCTTCCCTTTACATAATTATCTTTTTAATTAAATTTTATTTTTCCCTTTTGCCCTATTAATTTTTAAAGCCATTTATTTGAAAATTGACATCATCTAAATATTATTTAATTAATTTTAATTTAAAAATCATTTTTATTCTTTTTTTCTTTATTTTTCTACGCATGTTTAATTTTTTAAGAAATTAATAAAATATTAAAAAAGGTTATTTTCTTAACCTTTTTAAAACACACATTCCTCTAAATTGAATTCTTATTTATTTAAAAAACATAATAAATTGCATAAATTTGTACTTTATTAATATATATATAAATCTATTTAATTTGCGATTACAATTCAAGTTGTATTTAAATTTTTCAAGTTTACAATTCAAACTTTTTTACAATTAAAAATTCCAACTTTTTTATTTAAACTTAAAAACTTGATTCAAATTTACAGCATGTTTTTGTTTTTAAATTTACAATCTTAAAATTAATAAAAACAAAACTCTTAAGTTTTGAATCTATTGAAAAAATGGCTTACGACAAAACAATTTTGTTAGATTTAAAAAGGCATAACAATTTAAAAAACCCTACTATATGGTTTTTCATCTTTGGGGGCTTTACCTATAAGTTTTAGTTATTCGATTATTCATTTAAAAATCTTGCTTAATGAAGTTTTCTAATAATCTTGCATCTAGTTTAATCTTTGAATTCATGACTCAAACATCCATGAAAAAAGATTTTATTGATGAAAATTATGTACAGAAGCGTCTATTTATTTAAATGAACAAACAGACGGCGAAATTATTGCCTCATTTGAAGGAGTAAAATTATTGAAACTTGATTCTATTATAGACATGTAATAAAATATATATGCTATTTATTTAACTAAACAAATCTAATAGGTTCAATTCTAAAACTATGAATGATATTCATGATGCATCTTACATTGACATGAAAAAAATTAATCAAATATTTAGTACGAATATGCGAAGTTCCCGGTTTAATCTGGAAAATAGTCCACATACATTTATATCTGATGCGATTATTAATCATCATTTGTTGTTTGATGCTTCATTCAATAATAATGAAACAATAGATTTGGAAAAATGTATTAATAAGGTATGCTAATATTGGATAAATTAAGAGTTATTTAATCTTCTTAACTTTTATCTAATCTCCCAAGCTCCCAGGCTGTCTCATATTGGTTAAATATCTAAACCAAAATTATTCGGATGCGCCAGAAACCCCTAAATAGAAAGGCAAAAAAGGAAATAAAATATGATTTTAACCTAGAATATTAAGCAATAATTTATTCCTCACGTGTCTACTATTTCAAAAATATTGTTTATAAATCTATCAAAGGCCAAAATAATATAAGATAAATATTTGAATGTTTTCAGAAATCGAGAAATTTCAGGAAAAAATCGATAAAGTTGAAAAATAGACATAAAAATTATTGTAAAAAGTGTTCTAAAATATCACTTTAGCCGAATAATGTCACTTTAGCCCGACTGAAGATGGGCTGATTCTGCAAAATAATAAAAGAAGGAAAAAATTAATATAAAAAATAAAATGCGCCACACAAACTTCATTCACGTGCATTCCCGCGACTGAAGTTTGTGTGGGCAAATTTACCCATCTCGTTTGTTTGTTTATTATCTTTTCACCCCTCTCTCCATTTTCTCTAATTTTAAAATTAATTTTTTCTTCTTAGAAGTTTTGCTGGAATTTTCTATTGAGCCAAACTTTGCTTATCTTTGTTTGCGCAGCCTATCATTTCATCATTTTTTACTCCATCTTTCTATTATTTATTTTGCCATCGGCCAAAAACCATGGGCTGATTCTGCAAAATAATAAAAGAAGGAAAATATTAATATAAAAAATAAAATTAAATAAATTTTTGCAAAGAAGAGAGGCAAAGGATTAAATAAAAAACTAAAAAAGGAATGCGTCACACAAACTTCATTCACGTGCATTCCCGCGACTGAAGTTTGTGTGGTCATCTGCCGAATCAACTAAAGTCCGTGAACATCGTCCGTGAACAACAACAAAAAGTGCGAAGCAAACTTGTGCAGCAGACGTTCAAATCTACACCAAATCGTCATCTGCCGAATCAACTAAAGTCCGTGAACATCGTCCGTGAACAACAACAAAAAGTGCGAAGCAAACTTGTGCAGCAGACGTTCAAATCTACACCAAATCGGATCAACTCGGATCAAAAAGGTGTGGGGAAGATTATTAATAAAATTTAAATTTTATTCGAGAACTAATCGAGTTTCTATACTCTGACTTAGTTCAAAATTTATATTGTTCAATTACTTGTCTCTGAACAACTAATTGAGTCAATATCACCTCGCGGGAATCAAATAAGGTTCTCATCTTCGGCAGTAACCCAAGGGTCCTTTAATATATTTGCGAAGTCCTAAAGGCAATTTTTAAAAAATAATGGCATCACCAATCAAAACAACAATTTTTAATGCAATCAGAGCATTGGCAAAAATTAAATCAAAAGAAGAATGGGTTGACAACATCAAAGAAGGCGATTCCAACCAAATAAAGGCAATCAAATTAGAAGCGCAATTCAAGCGATAGAAGAAGAAATAAATAAAGCATTAGCGAATATTGAAGACATCAGATTATCTCTCTCTTCATGGACTGACCTTCTGCGCAAAAACCATCTGATGAACGCACAGCGGCAAATGACGAATATGAGGCCTTCCAGAAGACAAACTTAGAGTCATCAATGGAGGCAATTGATACTATGCTCCGACAACTAAAAGACTTCAAGGATGAAGTCTCAATCAAAGCAAAGGTCTCTATGGCAAAAAGCGACAAAGAATTAAAAGAACAAGAAATTAAACACTCCCAGAAGATGCAATCAACTTCAGCTCAATCAAGTGGAACGCCTCAAACAGCAGCAACTACTATTTCATCGGTCTATCAATTGCCAACACTACAAATCAAACCCTTCAATGGAGCTCGAAAGGACTGGGTAGAATTCTTTGAATCATTCAAATGCGCAGTGGACTCTGGAAATGGCTCAGACGTGGAAAAACTTACCTTGCTGCGGAACTTAGTGGATGGAGAGGCGAAGGAACTAATTGCTGGATTCAGGCTCGAGGCAAAGAGCTACAAAGAAGCTCTACAAATGCTCAAGGACAACAAATAAGGCAAAATCCAATCAAAAGAAGCTCATCAATAAAGCCACGAATTTCGGCAACAATCAAAATATGGACAGACAACCACTACCGATTTGGAAATGTGGATCTGTGACGAACAACATTTCAATGACAGATGTGTCAAATACAGCACTCCGCATGAGAGACTGACGAGAGCCAAAGAGAAGAAATTGTGCACCAGATGTCTGCGAAATGTACACACTAGCTTCAACTGTCCAAAACCTTCAATGTGCTTCCACTGCAAAAGGATGCACCCTTCTGCTCTGTGCTTTTCAAAGATGAAGAATCGATATGCCCAAAGGCAGGAAAATGTTCAACCTTCCAAGACTGACGTTCAAAATTTATCGGCAAACTGAGCAGGCAAATAATCGGCAAACTGAGCAGGCAAACGTTGTGAATGAAGAAGGCTCGAAATCTGTGCTGATGACCTTGCCAGCAAATGTGTGCAATCCTAAACGTCCACAACAAAAAGAAGAGGCTCTCATTTTCTTGGATGCTGGAAGTCAACGCTCCTTTATATCGGCAAAATTGGCCAACAAACTACAGCTACCGATCGTCTCCAAAGAGAAGTGCCATTTAACCAGTTTCGGAGACATGCTTGAAAACCTATGACAGCGACTTGGTGCGACTCAACATATATTGTGCCGATGGCCAAAAATTGAGCGTTGTCTTGAATAAATTGGGATTTCTGGTTAATCCCTTGCCCTGCTTCAACGAACGCGGAATTGATCCAATGGACCTTCAACGTGAAAAAATTACACCAAGCTCTTGCAAGCAACCGGATATTCTACTTGGAGTGGACTTGTGGACGAACTCAACATCCAGTAACTTAAAAAACTACCAAGTGGCTTCACAATTAGCGACTCGAAGCTAGGAAAAATTCTAAGTGGAGCCGGCCTGATGGACGAAGGATTTGCAACTCACACAATCTACGCAGCTTCCGTTCATGTAAACGTGGTGATCACAGAAGAAAGGCCCTGTATTGCTTGCTTCACTAATGTTAAAGAAAATAATGATTGGCCTACCAAATCTGAATGGCCTGCAGTTGGCACATGCACTCATTCAACCGAACAGAAGAAAATTTCAAATGAAGAGAATATATTAGTAACACTACATTGGACCAGAAAGACTCAATAGAAGAAGAAAACATGACAATCAACGATCGTGAAGCTTATGAAAACCTGGCAACTTTCTTTGGCCTACACTCTATTGGAATGGATGATACCATGCTACCAGAAGACAAAGATGAAGTGATGCAAAACTTCAAGAAAAATTTAACTTTTGTTGATGGTCGATACCAAATTTCTCTTTCATTCAACAGTCAAATACATGCTCTGCCAACCAATTATCGACACGCTAAGATGCGACTGTCCAGCACATTAAAGAAGCTGCGACAAATAAATGCGATTGATCAATGGACAATATAATAGGACAGCTAAAATTTTAATAAATGGAAAAATTTTAAAAAGAAGTATTAATCAACTTTTTCGTGCAGAAGTTCAACCCGAAATGGAAACTGTTCAAGTAATGGAACAATTGAAACCAGCAAAAGTTTCAATTGTTGAACCTGTGGGCAATATTAATTCAAATATGGAAACAAAACAACGCAAACGAAGGCATGACGAAATACAACACAAGCCAAAAGCTTTTTGATATTTCGCGATTCGGAGTAGGGATCAGGATACAGAGCATCACTATTAAATACAAACATATTGGGCTCATATATACACATATTGGGCACATATAGCGCTACCCTACGCTTACGTGGGTTGTGTAGTTGAAATTTTGAAATGGAGTTTAGAAAAAAATGGGTATAGGAATCGGGGAAAAAAGGGATAGAAACAGAGGGAAAAGGGTTGATAGGAATGAGGGGATTTGAGATAGGGGGATATATCTTAAAGTTGTCGCACATAGGTGTATATGCGACAACTTTAATAAAATATGTCATAAATAACCGGTTAATTCTCGTAAACACATACTAATGTTGAATTTTATAAATTTTAAAATTTTTCTTTATTTTCTTTAATAATAAAGTATAATAAATTACAAAACCAGTTTAACGTAACTTTTTATGCATTAAAATAACATATAATTTTGTTACTTTATAAATTAAAAACATAAATATAAATCATGGTAAATCTATTAAATTTAGAAACGGCAACGCAGCTTGTGGTCGCATAGATTACGTTGAAGCATCGTTAACTACAAGCAAGTTCACTTATGATCAACCAAAGATTAAGCAAGATTTGCTTTATAGTGTTTTTTGTCAAAAACATACGCAGAAGTTTTAAAAAACGATTAATCTTGAAGGCAAAATTGCAGTTGAATTTGTTCCTGTACGTCTTTTAAAAATATAGCGCGAGTAGTCATATATAATAAAACAAACTAAGGTGCCGAAGAATAATTTTTTATGATATAATATATTAATTCATATCAAATTAAAATAATTAGGATTAATTAATTAACTATTTAATATTTTTTAACTATACCACTTTTGAATAATTGAACATAGCTCTATTTTAAAAATTATAAACCCTCTTATTATTTATATATCTTAATTTTTTATTCAGTCATATCTAGATAGAGAAGGCCCAAGTGCAGGGGCAGCCATTGTGACGGCGATATTAAGCAAAGCATTAGATCTTCAACCTCGTAAATGTATATATAGTATTCCATTGAATAAAGTGATAATAAAGCATTCAGCTTTTACACAAAAATTAATATTTTTAAAACGATTCAACAAATTTATAGATGCAGCTGTTCTAGGGGAGATTCATATAGACGGTGACTTGATTTATGTTTCCGGACTTCGCTACAAAGTTTTCGTGAATTCCCTAGAAATCAAGAAATCGAAACTATCAAACTAGGAAAGTGTAGTGAAAGAATTTTCGGAGAAACTTTCGAATTATAATCTTTATGCATCTATTTTAAAAACAAGAAAAAGTGTCATAGATGTAGGATTTACGGTAGTAGCAAACTTCTTCATATTTCATTCATGTGCAAGCATTTTTAGTATAAAATCTTTAGTTTTATTTTATTTTCTAAAAAGTGAAAAATTATTAATTAACAAAATTAAATTATATATTGAGTTATATATTTAATAGAAATTAGAATATTTTGTTTACATTTTGTTCGGATCCACTACCTATAAAATTTCCTTAATTCTTGTATTTTTTTATATCATTGATTTTAAATCATTTTAAATCGTGGCGCGACACATGGGGATTTGACTTTTGAGGACCCGACACTTGAGGACCGACTTTTGAGGACGCGACCTTTGAGGATGCGACTTTTGAGGATGCGACTTTTGAGGACGCGACCTTTGAGGATGCGACCTTTGAGGATGCGACTTTTGAGGATCAGACATTTGAGGATACTCTAATGTCAAAAAAAAATTAAAAAATATATAATTTTAATTTTATGTTTAAAAATTTAAATTTTATGATTTTATGGCTTTCTCAAGGCCTAGCGAGCAAATAGTGATCATTATTAAATACATATTGTCATTTCAGTTTTCCGAAGTAGTCCGTGTCCGACCGTGTTTTGTGTGTCCGACAACACGAAAAAGTAATAATTTTTTGCTTTTAATTATTTCTCTATCATTCATTTAAATATGCCACATAAATTCATTAAAAGTTAACGAGGGAAAAAGTCTGACCATTATGTACAAATTAAGGAAAAATATGAAAATTTCTCACATGGCCTTCAGAAATTCTCAAAATTTTCGCCTGCGGCGCTGAAAAAGGAAGAAATCTGTTGGTTGTTATTCTAAAATTATAAATGGAATTATAAAAAAATTATAAAAAATAATGGTACTTTTCTGTTTTGCCACACCCCACCCATATATTCGCAGGTTATATTTTCTATTTTTCCTTAAATCGTACAGAAAGGTCAGTTTTCTTTCTTCCTCAATTTCACCTAATTTTCCCTGTGGACTCAATCTTCCGTGCTCACTCAATTTTCCCAAATGTTGATTTCAATTTTGATGACATTGGAAAGAAAAATTAATCTTTTCTTTGTTGCTGTCTCTTATTGTACATGCCAGAGGGAAAATTAGGTGAAATTGAGGAAGAAAGAAAACTGACCTTTCTGTACGAAAAATAGAAAATATAACCTGCGAATATATGGGTGGGGTGTGGCAAAACAGAAAAGTACCAAAATTATAATTATGAATGGTACACCTCATATCCCTCTTATTCTTCAAAACTTTCTTATTCCTATATCCTTCCAGACATCAAGGTATTTTCCGATATCCATTCGAATCCGCTGGTATCCTTATTTGGGCGTGATATCGAAAGATCAATATGTTAATTTCCTTTGATAGCACTTAAATCCCCCTTGATCAATTCAGACCCCCTTTTATCACACGATATCAAACCAACAAATTCTCATATAAACCACCGCTAATTCTTAATCTTTAACCCTCGAAAAAATTTTTGGTTCGGTCCCGGATATCCGAAAATTATCGGTTCGCTTCATCAGTTCGGTTTCTGATATCCAAAGTTTTCTAGGAACCGACAACCCTATTCAATTTATCAAAATTTTCAAAATTTCAACTACTTCGGAAAACTGAAATGACAATATGTATTTAATAATGATCACTATTTGCTCGCTAGGCCTTGAGCAAGCCATAAAATCATAAAATTTAAATTTTTAAACATAAAATTAAAATTATATATTATTTAATAAAAAAATTGTCTGATCCTCGAAAGTCGCATCCTCAAAGGTCGCATCCTCAAAGGTCGCGTCCTCAAAAGTCGCGTCCTCAAAAGTCGCATCCTCAAAGGTCGCGTCCTCAAAAGTCGGTCCTCAAGTGTCGGGTCCTCAAAAGTCATATCCTCAAGTGTCGGGTAGCCATAAGTAAATAGTATTTGAAACGATAACGGTAAGAATATTAATATCTACATGAAATAATGCTAATGCGATAAATTGTGGGTTATTTAATCATATTTTATTTAAAAGTATTTCACTTATTTAAATTAACATGCAAAAATGTGTATTAAAACTGCTTCGTGTATCAAACGAGAGCAAATTTTTTAGAAAAATTGCAGCAAAATTAATAGAGTAAAATATATATTCAAAACAAAATTATAA